TCATGCTGAAATCTAGATATTTTGTACATGTTTTTATTTTATTTTTTTAAGATAATAATGGTTTTAGCCATAAAAATCTTTCAGGTTTGATAAATTTCTTGCCGTTTGTTTGGCTGGGTATGTGTGTGAAAGTGAACACAACAAATTAGACTAATTTGAATTTAGCTTGCTTTTCCAGTGATTGAAAAAAAAAAAAAAAAAAAGAAGAAGCTGATCAATTTAGTTTCTGACATGGAAATTGTCAGACATTATTTTTAATGTTTGACTAATATTTATTACATTGAGTCATAAATAATTTCTGCTTTTGTTTATCAAATTTATTCCTCGTGTTTGTCAAGTAAAACTTTAAAAAAATCTATACAAGTTAAAATTTGGTAAAATGAACAAATTACGTTCAAATTATAGCAGACATTAGAACATTCTGTTAATCAGTTTCAGATAAAATAAAAACCTTTTTATTGAAACTTTGTTGGGTTTTTTTGTTTATCAGGACATCAACATCTATGGCAAGGGTTGTTAACCAGTGTGGAATATGCTCTAGGGTTTGGGGGGGGAGAGGAATTGGGGCCACAGATTGTTAGACTCAAAATGTTAACTTTCGAGCTCCCCAAGGCAGCAAAACTAGCAATGTGCATCAGTCCATGAAATTAAGAGATCACGCTGGGTTTTCTTTCTGATAGCTCTTGTGTTTTTTGCTCCTACAAAAATAATCCATATAAATGTATACATACTAATAGGGAAAAGAATGAAGATTTTCAATAATATATGCATATTATTTGGAATGCACAATTGACAATCATGGAAAGGGACAGAATCACATCGTGACATGGTGAAAAGGGTGCAATGGTCAAAATAGAATGAGAACCACTGGTCCTGACTTATGGTGAAAAGGGTGCATTGGTCAAAATAGAATGAGAACCACTGGTCTAAACTTATGGTGAAAAGGGTGCAATGGTCAAAATAGAATGAGAACCACTAGTCCTGACTGGTGAAAAGGGGTGAAAGAACCCTGGTCCTGACTTATGGTGAAAAGGGTGCAATGGTCAAAATAGAATGAGAACCACTAGTCCTGACTTATGGTGAAAAGGGTGCATTGGTCAAAATAGAATGAGAACCACTAGTCCTGACTTATGGTGAAAAGGGTGCAATGGTCAAAATAGAATGAGAACCACTGGTCCTGACTTATGGTGAAAAGGGTGCATTGGTCAAAATAGAATGAGAACCACTGGTCCTGACTTATGGTGAAAAGGGTGCATTGGTCAAAATAGAATGAGAACCACTGGTCCAGACTTATGGTGAAAAGGGTGCATTGGTCAAAATAGAATGAGAACCACTGGTCCAAACTTATGGTGAAAAGGGTGCATTGGTCAAAATAGAATGAGAACCACTAGTCCTGACTTATGGTGAAAAGGGTGCATTGGTCAAAATAGAATGAGAACCACTGGTCCTGACTTATGGTGAAAAGGGGTGCATTGGTCAAAATAAATGAGAATCACTAGTCCTGACTTATGGTGAAAAGGGTGCAATGGTCAAAATAGAATGAGAACCACTGGTCCTGACTTATGGTGAAAAGGGTGCATTGGTCAAAATAGAATGAGAACCACTGGTCCTGACTTATGGTGAAAAGGGTGCAATTGGTCAAAATCAAAAGAATGAGAACCACTGGTCCAGACTTATGGTGAAAAGGGTGCATTGGTCAAAAAAATGAGAAATGAGAACCACTGGTCCAGACTTATATGGTGAAAAGGGTGCATTGGTCAAAATAGAAAGAACCACTGGTCCAGACTTATGGTGAAAAGGGTGCAATGGTCAAAATAAAATGAGAATCACTAGTCCTGACTTATGGTGAAAAGGGTGAATTGGTCAAAATAGAATGAGAACCACTGGTCCAGACTTATGGTGAAAAGGGTGCATTGGTCAAAATAAAATGAGAATCACTAGTCCTGACTTATGGTGAAAAGGGTGAATTGGTCAAAATAGAATGAGAACCACTGGTCCAGACTTATGGTGAAAAGGGTGCATTGGTCAAAATAAAATGAGAATCACTAGTCCTGACTTATGGTGAAAAGGGTGCATTGGTCAAAATAGAATGAGAACCACTAGTCCTGACTTATGGTGAAAAGGGTGCAATGGTCAAAATAGAATGAGAACCACTAGTCCTGACTTATGGTGAAAAGGGTGCATTGGTCAAAATAGAATGAGAACCACTGGTCCTGACTTATGGTGAAAAGGGTGCATTGGTCAAAATAGAATGAGAACCACTGGTCCAGACTTATGGTGAAAAGGGTGCATTGGTCAAAATAAAATGAGAATCACTAGTCCTGACTTATGGTGAAAAGGGTGCATTGGTCAAAATAGAATGAGAACCACTGGTCCTGACTTATGGTGAAAGATTTCAAAATAGAATGGTGAAAAGGGTGCATTGGTCAAAATAGAATGAGAACCACTAGTCCTGACTTATGGTGAAAAGGGTGCATTGGTCAAAATAGAATGAGAACCACTGGTCCAAACTTATGGTGAAAAGGGTGCATTGGTCAAAATAGAATGAGAACCACTAGTCCTGACTTATGGTGAAAAGGGTGCAATGGTCAAAATAGAATGAGAACCACTGGTCCAAAACTTATGGTGAAAATGAGTCAAAATAGAATGAGAACCACTAGTCCTGACTTATGGTGAAAAGGGTGCAATGGTCAAAATAGAATGAGAACCACTGGTCCTGACTTATGGTGAAAAGGGTGCATTGGTCAAAATAGAATGAGAACCACTGGTCCTGACTTATGGTGAAAAGGGTGAATTGGTCAAAATAGAATGAGAACCACTGGTCCAGACTTATGGTGAAAAGGGTGCATTGGTCAAAATAAAATGAGAATCACTGGTATAAGGTTATAATGAAGTGTCTGTAAATTTATGCTTGCGTCTAATTCATCAAAACAAAACAATAGCTTTTAAAAACATACTTTTAAGTAATTAATATTTAACTGGCCAGAAAGTATGATTAATTTTGTTCATGCTTCAGTGATTATTTACATCATCAAAACAAAAAAATTGAAGGTGGTTAACTATATGGTGTGTATAAACAAAGATCATGGCAAGTATGATCAAGGGACACAAGATTAAAGACATGACCTATGACCAACTAAGTATATGTCACCAAGTACTACTGTAGATTCAGCTGGAGAACGAATTAATATAGCAACCTTGGCATTTATGCCTAAGTATTTGCTTTTTAAATGGCCACTGTAGGAAGTGGAGGTGCTTAAACCCAGTGTTGAAATTTGTTAAATCTGAAATAAGGAAGGCTTGTCTGTTCTTTAATAAAGCAAAGGTTATAAACTTCAGCACAGCAAGTTGTGTTTATCTACTACTGCTAATATAACAATGGCTGTTACACCAGCACGAGTTGCTTTCTTGATGAATATTGTTATTACAATGTTCTTTTATTTTTCTTAAAGTAAAAATTCATGGTCAAAATTAGCAGACATGATAAGAGAAAAAAAAACACAGTAATTTGGTTGCTGAGTCAACAGGAACCTGTTGAAAGTTTAACAGTGTCACATATGGTAATATTAGCAGTTTCCCTTTATGAAAACATTTGGCATTCATTGGCTGAGGAGCTAGTGCTACAAAAGTTATGCTTTTCTGCTCTCCCTGGCCATTAGGATCAAAGTGTAGTATCTGTTTTCGTCTATCTCTCAATTGTGTTTCTGCCTTCAAACAGAGAATAACTCAGTTGCGTTTTTGTCTTTGGGCAGAGTGGAACTGAAAAAAATATTGAGAGGTTCCTGGTTTCTGGGTATCAGCTGTCTGCGGCAGTACCTTCCACATTGCACTAAAGATTGGGAATTGGTAGTAATACCAATGTCGGCACAACTGACAGTTGCTGCAGCTGGGCTATTTTTGGACCTGGTCTGGGTGCACGTTCTCAAGTTACACATATTAAATTGACCTTGTGTCACATCTTGCCAGCGTGAAGTGACAAGTAAATACAATCGGCATTCGGGTGGATAAACTTCATTCTATCCCTCAACTGTGTTTCTCTTTTCAAACAGAACACAACAGATGAATGAGGGATGTTTAGCTCCAGGGATTCCAACCCAGTGGCAGTACCACTCTTACTGCACCAAAGACGGAAGGTTGGTGGATTATTGATTTCAGTGTGATATTGGTTGCAGAGATTGGGCCATTTTTGGCCTTGGCCCATTGGCATGTACTTGGGCTCCCTACTTTAAACTGGTCTTGTGCCATATCTCATCATTTTTTTGTTTGTTTTCATATACTAAAGTTCACCTAATAGAAGGTTCAAGAGCCACTTGTGGTAAAGGGTTACTGACTGAGGTAAGTGATATGAATGTAAGAAAAGGTAGAAGGAACTGAAGATTATGAGAACAAAAAATGGTTAGGTAAGTTATTGGTCTTTGACTTGAAGAGAAAGCAGGCACAAAGGGGTCTGTTCCCCATAGTAATATTTTGGGGGAAAAAAAGACTATTTGAGTGGAACTTCTTCCTTACAATTGGAATATGGAGAAAATTCAACTTTATGGGAGTAGCATGGCAAGTCCTAGATGTAAATGCTTGAACTGGTGGAAATAAAAAATGGAGATCATTTGAATACTGCCATGGAAATAACAAGAGGCTTGTAATTTTGCATTTGTCAGAAAAAGACTGCAGAGGGGAAAAATAAGTCATCTCCTACAAGAACTCAAACAATTTTGAACTCTGTAAAGTCTGTTGTGCTATTCACCCATAGTTTGAGGGAGAAGAGACGGATTCATACCTTTCCCAAGAGTATCTATACATAAATGAATGCAATATGAACTGAGCTCTCCAATGTGAATCACTAGACAACCATACATATAGTGTGTGTGTGTGTGTGTGTACAAAAATATCCTAATCAATAAAAAACATAGTCTATGAAATATTATTCACATTAAAGTTGATATTTTTTTAATGTAATCATATTCTTTTCTGAAAAATTCATTGAAAGTATAGTTTTTACTTACACTTTTTATAAGTTTGTCATCTGTTTGCAAAGAGACAAGAAACTCTTCGTAGACATCCTGAGGATAAAAAAAATAAAAAAATATTTACTTTATACAGAAAAACAATATTACTAAAACATCTGTTTGTCTGTCCCACGCAGAAACCACAATAATGATGAAAAAAAAAAAAAGAGAAAAGAAAAAAAAAGATGAAAACTACAAAAATGAGGTAGAAATATAGAAACAAAAATTAAATCAAAAATGTTGGCAAAATTAACAGTTAAAGGAATACTTTAAAAAACAAACATATCCGTTAACAAATCCAAAGAAGGTTTGTAATGTAGTCAAATCCTAACCAGGCATCTCGACTTCAATCACTTTATCACCATCATGACATGGCTTTCCTCTGTCTTTTCTTTAAATATTTTCATGGTGATTGTTCTAATGAGCTTTTTCCCGTTGGTGCCTCAATGGCAGGAATTTAAGCCTACTACTAGACTGGGAACTGGGTCTCACATTTTTTACTGTTTACCTAGCTAGATGTAACCGTCTGTTCTATTGTAGTAATTTCTTTTCTTGCCTTACTGGTTCCTTGCTTCCTAATCTTCAAAAATGTAAATGCAATGTCAATCACCATCTTCTGTCTTCCTGAGCCCTGTCCTTTTATTGTCATTTCTCCTCACTTTTCACTCCCAGTAACCCATTGTATCTTAGTGGCATTATTACCCTATTGAATGAAACAATTTAAAAAAGGAAAAAAAAAATGTGAACAACTTATTCTTGTATCATTTTTGCAATTAATATTTTACCCTTTTGAAACCACAATACTTATCTTACATTTTCTGTGATAATTTGGTTATATAGCCTGAAGATCTCTTTCAGAAATCTTCTTATTGGTTGATTCTATTTAGCAGTATATCAACCACAATGGGCTATTTAATGCCAAAATCTAAATATTTTGAAAACAAATTTATGGCTTCAACTAAATATAAATATTTTGAATGTAATTGTATGCCTTCAACTACAGATAAGATGTATTGTTGATAATTTTTTTTTTATATATAAACTTGTACTGCTGGTATTTTTACTATAAAAATGTACTGCTGGTATTTTTTTACTATAAAAATGCATTGCAGGTATTTTCACTATAAAAATGTACTGCTGGTATTTTTACTATAAAATGTATTGCTGGTATTTTTACTATAAAAATGTATTGCCGGTATTTTTTACTATAAAAATGTATTGCTGGTATTTTTACTATAAAAATGTATTGCCGGTATTTTTACTATAAAAATGTATTGCTGGTATTTTGAAAAATGAAGTGAACTGAATTCTCTTGGCATTTCCAGAAAATGCAGACCATGGTATCGCCATAATATTAAACCAAAGTAAAAAATGAATTCACATTACATCTTTTTAGAAAAAAAATATTATTCTTCACTCAATATAAGGCCCAAGAACCACTTAAGGTAGAGAGATAATTAATGAGGTTGTTGTAAGTGTGTATAAGGAGGGGCTAAGAGAGGTATATTATGGGGAATATGTAGGAGAGATTATGGTTGACCATAGACTTAAAGAGGTTAAGATTGTAGTCATTGGGAAAGAATCCACTCTGGGGTATGTATCACAAAGTGATAGCTCTGGAGAAAGAAACTGAGTGACACTTCTTCCTTACAAATGGAATATAAAGGTAATGAGGGCCTGATTGAATGGCAAAGATGGAAAGTCCTTGTTTTTTTATCTTATTTTTTCTGTATTTATCTATTATAGATTCATTGATATTTTCTTTCTTTTTTTACTCAAGATTCACCCTGTACAAGGACTAGAGGCCATTCAAGGTAGAGAATTACATTAAAAATGTTGCATTTGAGCATTCTTTCAGATATCAAAACTGTTGATTCCCTTCGCTTTTGCCTCAGATTAGAGTTGTATGTATGTGAAAAGTATCTCAAGTACACACAATATATATATACACACACAAACACACACAGAGGGGTGTGATGGGTAAATTGCTGCCATTTTATATTTTTAATTTCATGTATGTGCATTGTTTTTGATCTTGTTGACTGCCCAGTATAGTAGGGACAGTTGCACACCCTCTGTGAGGAAAAGAGCACCATGACACAATTCACTCAGCCAGAAATTTGGAGACGGCATGCTGTACTGCTTGGCATTCATGCTGGAAGCTCCAATACAAACATTTTAGAGTGTTTGGGTGTCAATCTGATGAGAGTGCAGAGGATTCAGAAAGAGTTGGATGAGTCTAATGGTGATTATGATGGTGTTTAGAGTGATCGCAGCATTATGCTTCTATTAATCTTCCCAAAGGGTCTCAGGCTCAACATGGAGACCTACATCAAGTGTCTTGTGAAGATAGTGCTGCCCTGGGTCAAGAGAGTGGCTGCTGGAAAATCCTATGTCTGGCAACAGGTCTCTGCACCATGCCACACAAGCAGGAGAACAATCATGGCTGTCAGACAATTTCTGTGACCACGTCCGGCCATCTAACTGCCCAGAATGCAACACTCTTGATTATGTATAGGGCGCAGTTGAGTGAGAGACCAACAAAACTCTTTGTAACACCAAAGATGAACTGAAGGCAAAGATTATGGTAGCATACATCAACTTAAACAAGGATACCATCCAGAAAGTTGCAAGTGATACTGAAGTTGTCTGGAGGCCATGGTTAAAGCCAACGGAGATTTTATTAAATAAATTTAATCTTTAATATTTAAAGATATTTTGGTGTAATTCTGGTAAATATATCTGTTAAAATAAGATGTTAGTGCTATTTTCATTGTTGCATAATTCATCTGACAATTTATCCATCACACCCTCATATATATATATATATATATATATATATATATATATATATATATAAAAAAATATAATAAATTGGGAAAAAGTTTTTGCAATGCATTTCATCCGAGCAGGCTTTGTTGATGTTGCCACATCTACACATGCATGAAATGAGAGACACTGGTAGCTTCAACATTTTTGAAAGAATATTTTTTCAATTTAGCCAAATTCATCTGTACTCTTTTTTGCTCCATCACATTTGTCCCTGACTATCCCACATTGTGACAAGAGAAAATCTACCAATATATATATTGTAAGAGCCTGGACACAAATTTACCATGGCTGAACTCGTGATGAAGAAACATTTTCATCTCAGTGGATTATTTTCTCTTTTAATCAAAGTAGCATTCCCTATATCAAAATTGCGGTCAGTTACATTATGGCGAACAAACAATACGTTTTGTGTGTTGTTTTTTAAAATGTCCCTTTTGTGTTCATATAGTCTTTTGCTTAAACTTCTTGAGGTTTCTCCAATATATTCATTCTGGCAATTCCTGCAGATGATAGAGTAATTTCTTCCTTCAAGTTTTGGCTTGTTGCTTTGTTTTTTATTGATTAAGTCTTTGATTGTTTTAGATATAGTTGTGACATATTTTATGTCGAGTTTAGATACATTCTTTTCAGTTGTAGTTGTGATAGACTTAGTGGATAGAATAATATTTTTTTTGTTCATTGGGCTTGTCAGGAAAGACAGCTTTTCTATTTTGAAATATTTGATGATCCTTTTGTTTCTCATTGAATATGAAATAGGATATTGAATGTATTTTCAATATATTTCTACTCTTCATGTATATATTGAGGGATGAAAATTCTAAGTGCTTTTAAATAGAATCCAATGATAATTTTGGATTTTATCTTGGTGTTATGATGGGAATAGAAGTGTCAGCAAATATTCCTGTTGCTATGTCCCAAGATCCTCGCTGTTGCACAATAGGTAGACTTGTATGCAGGACACTTGCGGGATTGAAGTGTCACATACAACACAAACACAAAAACTGAATGAGGTTGTTGGATCCTCATATGTCAAAATTGATAAGAGAGTCTATCATCATCATATATATTTGTGTATTTAGGCAGCAAATTTTCTTTAAGGCAAATGTTATTAAAGACAACAGACATTTTGTTTTGATTAATTTTATTGATCGACTTTTCCAAATTACAAATAATCCTTCTCAGATAAGGAGGAAATTCTGTCAGAAATTGTCCAAAATTCAGTCTGGAAGAAATATGTTCCAAGCTTTATGACTTATGGTCATTATTTTCAAAGAAATAGTAGGTGTTGTGATATAGACAATATGTTATATATATATATATATATATATATATATATATATATATATATATATATATAAAGTAATGAAGGGTTTGGTAATCCAAGTGGATAATTCCAAAGAGGATGTAATCCAGAGAGCTCAATGTAATACCAGAGCAAATATTCATTAAGAAAGAGACAACCTCAAGGTTCCATGACTATAACTTATTTCCCCAGAAAATATATTTGTGTGTATGTGTATATACACACAGACACACATTTGAGGATGTGGGCTCTTCAATTATAACTGGTTTCATTTATTTTACTTCATGTTTATTCTTTCCTCCTTATCTGAGAATGATTATTAATAATTTGGAGAAGCTGATCAATAAAATTAATCAACACAAAATGTCTGTTTTATATATATATATATATGTATATATATCCTTAAAAACTAAGACACTAAAAGGAGGCTACAATGGTTTCATCATAATAGGTATCATCAGGCAGTACCTCCAGCATATTGGCTGTTGACAACCTATATATAGTTAGTCACTACTAAGGAGGTGGAAGAGTATGAGGAATTAAAATTATATATATATGTGTGTGTGTGTGTGTGTGTGTATATATATATATTTGCTGATACCCCCTGACAAGTAGACTGAACAATTACACAAAAGTTAGCCTACGAAACTTTGTAGTAGAGTTGCTGAAAATATTATCAATCAGCTAAGTGACAAATTTTGTAATTGTATTGATGCTATATATATATATATATATATATATGTATATATATAGTAAACAAATAAATTTCATAATGAATGGTTTTCTTAAGAAAATTTGATTCATTATGAACTGAAATTACAATAATAAACTAGATTACTCATATATTTAAGTAGCTGGCAGCATCCAAACCAACTTAGTTTCCATATTGCACTTCTTTTTTTTTTTCATGAGCTCTGAACTTAATTTGCAAATTTTCATGTTTTATATTAAAAATGATATTTTACACAATATTTTTTATAAAACATAATCATGCATCAACAAAAACATGCATGAAAATCAAGTACCAAAGAAACTGAGCAGGGAATAATTTTTAAACATGAAAGTGAAGTAAGCACTGGCAAAGCTATTGATAGGAGTATGGAACGCTGAAATAACAAATTAACAAAACACTCAAAAAACAAGCGAATCCATAATTTATGCAAAGGCCAAATAGTCGTTTGATGACTTTTGCCTTGATCCACTGAATAAAGTTGTAATATAATGCTCAATTTAATCTCGGTATTTTCCATTTTTGATACATTTTTATGCTTTTAGGAAGATCTATGACAAAGTGAAAAAAGTTTTGTTTTTTTGTCAAATGATTCATTTTCTTAATTAAATGAAAATAACATTACAGTGGAAATTTTGGAAGTCAATAGGATGCACAACTAGGTAGCTATAAGATTAGAAGGACTACCATCAGCAGCAAGAAGAAAAATGGTATTGCTTGTTCTACCATCATTGCTGAATGATTGGTTATGTTAAATAAAAAAAGTATATTCCAATGGAAATTTTGGTAGTCAATGAGATGCACATTTTCATTGCAGGTTACTGGATTGCTAGAAAGACTAGCATCAGCAGTAAGAAAAAAAAAAAAAAAAAAGAAGATATTGTTTGTATGACCTACCATAGCTGAGTGACTGATTATATTAAATAAATAAATAAAACTCTTCCAACAGACCTTTTGGCAGAAAATGACGTGGACATCATGATTGAAAATTACTGTAGGTACCTCCAAAAACTTTCTAAACAAGAGCAAGCACAGATGAAAAATATCTCAAAATTGATAAAAACAAAGTGTTGTCATCAAAATGTTTATGTTATTATTAAGAGGAAGGATCAAAATATTTTTTAATTATTTTATTAAATTTTTTAATCCTTTCTAGCATGTTGAAATTTTGGTTATTAACAAATGAATGAAATTATTTTTGAATTTCCTTTAGATTTTTTTAAGAAAATCTTGGTAAAAAAAATTTATTTTTATTTTACATCTGTTAACCCAACTTAATTTTATGAAATTTTCAGAAATTAAAATTCCACTTTTCATATTTATATTAACTAAAAACAGAACTTCTTAGACAGTTCAAATCATCAGTTTGCTTTTGTAAAACAGAAACACAATTTACTGAAAATCTGCTCTGAATTGTAAAATAAAAAATTCAATAAAACTATGACATTATTTAATCAGAAAAGCTTTTAATTGCTTTTACAAATAAGATATATTAAGGACACTAATGTCTTCAGAAAAATTTTTTTTGATGGATAATGAATTTTTACAAGAATTGTTTTCAATTTTTAATTAGAAAAAATTAATAAGTTTTAAATCTTTAAAATTTTTTGAAGGTACGGGCAACCATACATGACATTATCAAAAAATAAGAGCAATAACAAATTTAAAATCTACATTTCTAAAATTAAGAAAATATGAGATTACAGAGAATATTTTCCTAAATTTTAAAGATTAAAGATTTTAAAGAGATCATAAAAATTATATTAAATTTTTTTTAAAATTATGTTTTACAGATAAATCTCCATAGAAAAACATTAAATCTTTCATCAGGGTGTCAACATGTTAAATCATTTACTGTTGGGTTAAAAAAGTGCATTTCTGTGATATTTTAACCTTAAAGTGAATAATATTTGTTTCAAATCAGATTAATTATATTTTAAATCAGCTAATACTCCTCGAATAAAGTTTCTGTAAAGTATATTTTATTTTTTGAAGATTTCTAATAAAGAGATTTACAATGTGATGAAAGATGTTCTAAAAAAGGGTGTTAATCAGCTATTTTAGCAAAAAAAAAAAAAAAAAAAAAAAAGATCCTTCCAGTCAATCAATTTAAATTCTTCTTAAATTAGTTTTCTTTAAGTATTTTACTTAGTGGAAATATTAAATTTAATCTATTAGCTTGAAATTATACCTAAAATAAAAACTTCAAGAAAGATATTTAATTTTAAAAATTTCATTTTAAACCTTAGGTATCAGTTTTTTTTCTATTTCTTTTGAAGGTACTTACTATAAGATTATAAGGATTACCATCAGCAGTAAGACAAAAGATAATATTGTTCCTATTACCACTCACCTGATAAGGATGTTGGCTCATTTCTTGTCCATTACTGATGATGTACTTCAAGCAGCACATGAGGTACAAACGTTCACTGAAGTAGTAATCTTGGATCTTCAAGATGAGGCCCTTTGTGTGTTGCTCATTGCTCAGAATTTGCTGAAAAGACAAAAACAGGAAAATATTTACAAAACTGAAAATCAGCAATGAGTGTGTATGTATGTATGTGTGTGTGTATATATATATATATATTAGCAGCATGGCCTGGCGTTGCCTGTGCTTGATTCAAAAATAGTACGACTAATACAGCAATCGCTATCACTTGACTTAAAATATTTTTGCCCTTCCTTGCCTTTAGAGAAGTGCCCTTTGCCGTGCTGATGTTGTTACATGCCTTACTTCTTGCCTATATCACACTGCCAACTTTTTCTAAGCTCTATAGTAAACATTAAATTTGTTACGAAAAAGAACTAAACAAAATAAACACAATACGATCAGCTTTAAAAAACCGGAAAAAAACATTTTTAAGGGTTGACTGATTGTCGATTTGCACTCTCTTTTGGGGGGGGGGAACTCCACATGATGACTCCAAATGGCCTCTTCATAAATTCGCTTGGTTTTCGCTAAAAACCAACATGCGGTTCAGACGCAATCTGGGCATATCAGTTTTTAGGTTTTATCGATTTTCTGCGCTGTTTAGGGGTCTGTGGTCATGAAACTTCTGGACAACACTTCTAATGGTAGACTCTAAGAGAGTGTCAAATTTGGTTGAAATGCCATCATTCCTTCTGTAAGCAGAATTTTATCGATTATTGATTTTTTCGCTTATCAATTTTTTTTGGAACCTGATTCCGAACTCAAAAATCGGGCTCTGTCATGTCCCTATGCCAGCCATTTGCAAACGTGTTGAAAACTGCATCAAAATCGGGTGAAAAATGCGGCCTGGGCGAGGTAACAACGCCCACAACAGACACACAACATGAGAAATATAGATAGTAGATATATATATATATATATATTGCACATGTAGTGCTAGAGTTAATAAAACAGTGCTTGATGTAAATAGAGCTATTAAGTATATATTAATAAATATACATATCCTTTACTAATAGCCTGACTTGGAGTTTCATGCCCAATGCAATCTTCAAGTGCTGAGTATATTTATTTAGTTTAGCAATCTTCAAGTGCTGAGTATAGTTATTTAGTTTCTATAGTTGACTAACTATAGAAACTAAATAAGGTAACCCACTATAGCTCTATGGTGAATGACTTGACCTCAAGGTTCATTACTACTGAATACATGTTGGTGAACATGGTCAACAATACAAAGTGCTCAATATCTGTGGCTTTGTGTCAAAACTAAGTTAGACTTTGTAAAAGAACATGCTTTAACATAATGGTAAGCCAGATGGTTCTGCCGATCATTTCTACTGAGTAAAGAGTTTGATCCTCATTGGGTACCACATACTTGTGCGCCTGTACCAAAACTAAGTTGAATAAATAAAAACTAGCACATAAAAAAGGTACATCAGCATTGGGTAATGGTTAATAAGCTAGTTTGTTTGACCATTACTAAAGAGTAGAGAGTTGGTGCCTCATACTTGCAGGCTTGTGCAGATTTCTTTTGCAAAACACTACCAATAAGCACCAAGTCAAATATTTACTGTGCCCCCACCCGATAAATGCAGTCTTGTCAGACCAACCAGAAGTTAGTAAATGTTTGTAAATACCTACCAACCTATCAACCAACAGTACATATAATGTGTTCTAATATTTCTGCTACTAGCACATTGACGAGACGATAAAGTTAACTTATTCCATATTACCTCTTTAGTTTTCTTTTGACTTTGTGTAACATGAGTGGACCTGATAGTTTTATCAGTTATCATGCTTGGCTGATCAGAATTCCATGTTGAAAATAATATATATGCATGCAAGTTTCAATTGCTCATTATATATATATATATATATATACACACACACACACACACACACACACACACACACACACACACAGAGTGTCCTAAAAAATTTGACATCATTTCGCGGGCCAATAATTTTGGCAATTTTTGTTGAAATAACCTCAAATTTTCACAGAACGTATAGAAACAGATCAAGATTTTAGATTTAATGTTTTATTTTTGTTGTTTTCAGGTTGAGCCATGTTGTTCAATCCCAAAGAGAAGTCATTTTGCGTCTTGGAATATGCTTGCACACAGTCACCCAAAACTCTGCAGCCTGCCTTCAATGCAAAATTTGGAAAAACTTCACCAACTGACAAAAATTTAAAGAGGACGGTTGCATATGCAGGGCTAAAGGATCTGGTAGACCATCATCATCAGCATGTTTGGCAAGATCTTAACTAATGACATGTGCTGTGTCACAGGCGGTGCACATATTGAACACTTATGATGTTCAACACCTAAATCGTTCAATTTCATTGAGCTAGACTTAGTAGTTTTCAAGATAATAGCTTTTAAAAAGATGTCATTTTGGGGACATAGTGTGTGTGTGTGTGTGTGTATATATATATATATATAAAAAATGGGTGTGTGGTCAAGTGGTTAGAACGTCTGCTTTCTGACCATGAGACCCAGGTTCAAATCTCACCATGGTTGATTTGTTTGCAAGGCGACTTCCTGATGCTATTAGCCTGGATCGAGGTTGATCCCATTGTGCGGCACCTTTGGAAAGTGCCTGAAAAACCATACCATGGGTTGAGCTAAGCCTTGTGAGTGAAACTAGGTAGACAGAACTCATGTGGGCCATCGATAGCTGCGCTAGCCTGAGCGTGCTTGTCTTGCTCAGATTGTTGATCACGCTAGATAACACACTCTCTCCCAGAAACTGTAACTAAGGTCTGCTCAGCATAGTTGTAGTATAAACCACAGGTGGGCTCTGTGGGTGTTGAGCAAGCATGAATGTGCCTGAACGAGCGTCTGCAATAGGGATTGGCTAGCTGCCCTAGTAGACAGTATCCTCAAATACGAGGGGCCAGCTATTATATATATATATATATATATATATATAAAATTGTATATTTTGGCAGCAATCACTTTTTTTTTATACAAGTTTCATTTAGAATGACTGACAAGGTACTGTGGTTAAGTTTTTTATTTAATTTTATTTATATTCTTATCATTTTTTTATTTTATGGACATAAATTATGTAGAAATTGTTTGAATGTTTTGCATGTTCAAGTGCTTTCAGCTATTCTTTTATCCATTATCAGGGATTATTTTATTTTTACTTTTAACTGAATGTATGGATTTTTTTAATGTAGATTATATATCTGGAGGCTTGGATTGAGGAATTGGAGAGCCAAGTTCTAATTCCATTCGAATTCATTGCATTCACTTATGTGCTAATACACTTGGGAAAGGTATGAATCTCTTCTTCTCCCCCCGGCTATGGGTAAATAGCAGGACAGACTGGATTCTATGGCGTTCAATGGCAACTGGTCTACTGCAGAAAGAAATGGCAACCTTCTGCGGGAAAAAAATCTGCCTCATCAGTCATTTTTCAAAAGATACATAATCGCTTAAGTGTGTATCACATGTGGCACATAACTGTCTGATGCATCTGGAGTTATAAGAATGTTTTTATTCACCAAACATGGTCAGCATATTTTGGCCATGTTCATAGTTGATGTTATTGAGTGTTGGCCTTTTCTTTTTTATTAATAATACTTCCATTATTTTCACCCGTTTTTACATGTGGATGGGACTATTATATTTGTATTGTCTATGACATTTATTCAAGTGGGAAAGAGAATTCAGATTGCTCCATTCTAAAAAAAAAAATATAGAGCAAAAACAACTTTTAAAAAGAAGGTTAAATTAAAAGGAGTTAAGCATTAATTTTTAATCTCAATTCTTTTTCTCATATGACAAATTTTTATCAAGCATTGGGGATCAACTTACAAGAAAAAGCACTAATTTTACAGAAACACACACACAATCTCAAAGTATTGGTAAATCTAACACAAAGCCTGTTAGGAGACACAAAAAAAAAAAGCCTAACAGAAAGGAAATCCAATAACTAGTAAAACTAAAACCCAAAGAAAAACCGACACAGGAGAAAAAAGAAACATAACCTGAAAGAAAAGTTCAAAAGAGTAACTCATTTACGTATGAAGTCACAAAGACTATAAATAGCTATGGCAATTACCCATGAGGCAGTTGAGTGCATACTACTTCTAGAAAGTCAGTAACACAACACTACAATGGCATTGCCGATATCTATTGAATTAAATGAACAATTATCACTTGATAATTCTGTATACGCATAAGCATGGCTTAGAATATTAGCAGCTAAAGCTACAACAAAAAAGATAAAGGATTCAAAATCAATCGGAGGAGAAAATCAAATAACGAATTTCTTATTGGCAACTGCTGGTTGTGAAAATTACCAGCAATTGTACACCCAAGACAGTTGGAAGATTGAAAAGTCCATCCGCTCTCATGAGTAGACAAATTAGAGCTCATTGACCATTTGCTATATTACCAACGAAAAACTATGGTACTTCATCCTGTGACTTAACTGGAGAGAGGATATATGGAATGATCCTGAGTTGACCTGTTTACATACGAAGTCAAAAAGACTATAAATAGCTATGGCTATCAGCCATGAGGCAAATGACTACATACTACTTCGCATGATTCAGTAACACTACACTACAATGGCATCGCTGATATCTAAAGAATCGAATGAACAAGTATCGATAATTATGAATATACACAAGTATGGCTTAGGATACTAACAGCTAAAGCTAAAACCAAAATGCTAAAAGATTCAAAATCAATCGGAGGAGAAAACCAAATAACGGACTTCTTATTGGCAACTGCTGCTTGTGAGGCCATCATAAAATTATCAGCAATTGCACACCCAAGACAGTTGGAAGATTGTAAAGTCCGTCCGCTCTCATGAGTAAACAAATTAGAGCTCCATTAACCATGTACTATACTACCAACAAAAAATGGTACAAAAAGAATAGTGAATCTAATCTACAAGAGGCAGATTCATAATACAAAGTGGACAGAACACCATGATCAGACCAAGTTAGATTGCAACATGATAATGATGAAGAAATGTATAGTGAGCCTGAAAATAATGAAGACAAAAGTGTCATATCAAAGCAAGGTAAAGTAAACGGTGAAATCGAGAGTAATATAGAATCTGAAGATGAACAAAAAACAATTATTGGAGGAAGACCCCTATGAAAAAAAGAAAAAGCTCAAGATCTCTCATATCTAGACAATCTCTTAGGGAGAGTTGGGAAGATAGTGGGTAGACAAAAGCTCCCAGAAGAAGTACCAGAGAAAATAAGGGGATAAAACCTCTTTGGACAGAGAGATGAGGTGACTCATTTACGTATGACATCACAAAGACTATAAATAGTTATGGCTATTACTCATGAGGCAGTAACACTACACTACCGAAACAGTAATATAGAGGGATTTATGTTGTTGCATGATTCTATGATGTTCAGGTAAAAATAAGTCACTACTTTGTTGTGTGAATCAACTCCTTGGATAAAAGGTGTGTGATTGCTTTATAGTAAATATTTATGGGCTTCTGGAACAATTGTCCCGCAAACAATATTGACAGATTGTAAAAGTTAATAACACAAAACATAGAATTTAATTTTACTCACAGGGGTAGACTGTTCTAGTTCCAAGTGTCTAATGGATGTCAGTTATCAGGTATCTCCTGTTAATTCCCCTCTCCAAGTTCTCCTCAAGGACACATGGCACAGTGGATAAAGGCATTAGTTAGATCCAGTGACAGGACCCAAAGAGGGTCGGTTGAATACCTGGTTAAGGTGGTGGATAACTTGAAGAGGGGAATTAACAGGAGATACCTGACATCCATTAGACATGGCACGTGGAACTAGAATAGTCTACCCCAGTGAGAGAAACAAAGGGTTCAGTTTGACATTCCAAGAAGGCATGAGCATACAACAGCCGAAAAGTTGTGATAAACATAGCAACAAAGATGAGGACAATAGTCCGAATAATGTAGATAGTGTACATAATAACTCATCATAGAAATATAGACATATACTGAAGAATCATAATGCAAAAATATTTGATCTTTTTGCATGAATTACTGCATCAATGCAGTGTGGCATTGGAAGTGATCAGCTTATGGTACTACTGAATATCATGGAAGCCCACATTACTTTGATAGCAACTCATTTGCCTTTTTGGGTCTGGTATCTCATCTTGACAATATGTCATATATTCTCTGTAGGGTTCTGGTCAAGTAAATTGGATGACCAGCAAACCAGGTACTTACTATTTGGCACTGTGAGCAGGTGACAAATACTGCTTGAATACAAAATCGTAATCTCTATAAAGTTTGTCAGCAGACAGTACTAAAATCTCCTGGTAGATGGCCACATTGACTTTGAACTTAATAAAACTAAGTAGACTACCACATCATCTGATGACATTGGAACCAAGGTGATCCATAAGTTGATTGCAACCCAAATCATCACTGAATATGATGACTTTAAATAACTTGGATTCTCTGCCTCAACACTCATCCTCTTGATTTGCAAATGAAATGCAAAATTTACCTTCATCTAGGAAGAAGCCCTTTGACCACTAAGCAACAGTCTAGTTCTTTTTCTATGAAACCCAGGTAAGATGCTTATGATGTAATCACTGGTTCAGGTGTGATTTCATACTTGTAGCCTTTTTTCCTGAACACTTCAGCACAGGGTGGTGCTTTATAAACTTACCCCATCTTCAATTCTGTCCTTGTGAAGAGTTTTACAAGTTCTTGAGTTGACTTTACGTGATAGTTCTTTGACAGTTGTAATTATCCTTCATACCTGTGAACATTTTCCTATTACATTTCTGTTCCAGTTAACTTTCCAAGAATATTCTTTGATATTATTATTTTATTATTCAGCTGAGCTAGCTCAGACATGAGTCCATCATGGTCCAGCATCAAGGTGGCATTATGTCATAACACAACTGGTCAATATAGATGGTTGCTGGGTGATCAGCCCATCTTGCTCCATGACTAGGTGTCCAGAGCAGCATATCACTCGCAAATTCTTGTTTTGCTCACCAGCAGTGCCCTGCAAAGCATATTCTATGTTGACATGAGATTGTAGAAATATCAGGGATGTGTCCATAGAGCTATGATTTAGTTGGATGTTGTCTCCAGATGTTAAGTATAGCACTCAGCATCTGAGTGCAGGTTCTATCAAGCTTAGACTTGAGGGTTTTATTTAACCTTTGCAATGCTGCAGGCAAAAACTGTCACCATAGAATTATCTCCCTTTGCTGCTCATTGTATTTTGTTGCTTTGAGACAGTTGCTATAAATAAACACTTGTCAACTGTTATTTCCAGTATTCTAAGCTGGAAATCACCTACTATTGCTTTGGAACAAGGATAAACTTCCATTTTCCAATGCCATTTTGAATTCTTCTAGACTCTACACAAGGTGTAGTACTGATCAAAGCTCTGTTAATTTTTCGCAGATTTTTGTAAACAAATACGGCCGCACCAATATCCAACAAAACCTTTAATAGGGAATTTTTTTTTTTTTTTATTAGAAATCTGATGATGATTTTGAAGGCTTTACCGAAGTAGATATTGACAGTGGTTGAAGATGATAACCACGCTAGTGACATAGAGGAAAGCAATGATGAACACTAGCAGCTACTATCATCCATGCCAGACTAATTTTATGGACGCTACCTGGCAACCATCAATATACCTGATAGCCTTTCTGAAGGCGAATTATTTTGTCTATTTATAAATGATGAAATAAAAACTTTATCTGTCAATGAGACAAATAAATGAGTCAGGTGAAAGAAAAAACGAACAAATGCTAGTGTCTTACTCTTCTCGTATGTAAACATGAGGAAACATTACTTTTTTTGATGAAATGAAAGCCTTCTTAGCCATTTTGCTTCTTATTGCACCCCTAGAACTCCTACAAGGAGTAATAAAAGTTAAAGAATGTTGAATTATGTATTTTTTTTAATGTATTTATTTTTTATTTCAATATTTTTTTTTGTTTTCAATTTCAAAACATGCATGCAAAACATAATGCATTACATCAAAATGTTACTCATTCATTCTTTTATTGTACAAAAATTAAAATCTATATGCACAATATAAAGAAAGTTATAACAATTTTAAAACAGTAAGTGTTCATATTTTTGCACCCTCAAAAAAAAAAAAAAAAAAAAGATGAAGTGGTAGAGGGAGCAATTCTAGAAACAAATTAGCATGGCAAAGGTTAATATCCAAGCAGTGATACCATACAATAAAACTAACACTACAGTGGTGTGAAATAATCTCCATCTGATGTTGTCTGATAGATCAGATTTCCAAATTACATTTATTTTATTCAAGGTGGCCCAGACTTTAGTTATGTGAATTTTCATATACTTTTTAAATTCAACAGATTTTAGATTCAACTGAGACAGTTTGTAGTAAGCCTTAATAGTTGAAGCTTATGAATTCAGTTTTAGAGGCATTAACAGCCAACATTGTTAGCAGCATTTTCTAGATGATGTAAGAGAGCTTTGGTAATGTTGTCTGCAGTGATGGATAGGTCATCTACGTAGCCAGTATGGGTCAACATTTCTTTGCAGGATATCGACTTGAGAGTCTTGGAGATAAAGTAAAACCTAGATTTATCAAGTGAAGTTTACAATATGTAGTTAAATGGGGTAACTAAGATAAAAGGCACAAGAGTGTCATCCTAAAGGACTCTTGCTTTAATGTCGAAGAATCTAGTGTCTCCAACTGAGGATCTAACCAAAGATTTGGTATTTCTGTATAGTATCATTATGGCAGATAGTATCTCGGAGGGGATGACATATGACAGAAGAATCTTCTAGTACTCTACAAAGCAGCCACCCTTTAGGCTTTTACAAGTAATAACCTTCTGTGACTTACTTTCCACAAGAGGGTGCCAATGAATATCTTCTGAACAGCTGTCAAGTTGGCAATCTTTCCCATGATAGCTGTCATGTGTGCTGAACCAGACTCCGAGATTAAAGGTATTTATATTGCATAAATAGTTATTTAGCCAAAATTGAAATGGAATATTCTAATATTTTCAGATACATTATTTTTTTTTTTATTTTTTTAAATTTTTGGCTGTAATTATAAAAATTAAAAAAAAAAATGCTTGAAATATTCTAGTTTACATGTGTGTGTATATATATATATATATATATATATATATATATACACACAAACAAACACACACAAGATAGGGTTCTTAAAAAGATGTTGGTCTGGCTGAAAAGCCTTAAAAAAAATTTTAAATGAAAAAAAAAAAAAAAAAAAAAATCAAAAAAAAAAAAATTGTTTGGTAATTTGGAAAGTGGCTTTGGCCTGAGAAATTTCTATCAAGTGCATATAATTAACAATACACGGAGGTAAACAAGTCTTTAAATTGTAAACCAGGATGCCAAGGGCTGGGCAGAATAATGTCAGTTTGCAAGTTCAACTTAGAAAATACTTTTTTCACTAAAAGTTTATGACAATTTCATGGATCATTTTTCAGAATTCCTAAAAGGGGCTGGAAAAATAGGCGAAGCTGCTTACCTTAAGGTTTTTTTCTGAGCTTCTATATTCGTGGGTAAGGTAGGAACAGAAGAGATCATAAGTTTGAACTTCATCCAAGCCCTGAAAAAAAAAATAAATAAAAATAACATATGTGCATATACATACATATAGATATAATTTTAGTACATTTTTCAGTAACAAATTTATCTTTATGTCTCCATAGAACACCATGAAAAATACCCAACCAACAAAGAAGAAAAACATTTTTTTAAAGACACAATATATATATATATATATATATATATATGTGTGTGTGTGTGTGTATAATTATTTATTTAAAAATATGATTCCAACATGTTACATAAGAGTTCTCATGTTTCAAAACAAGAGCTGAAAACTTCAATATAATTATTTGAATTAAATTGAATTAAAGTACTAAGCTCTGTTCCATCTTCAAGCAAAATTTTTTTGGAATAACTTATTTCTGAAATTTACACGTTTTATAAGCATATTCATTATTAAAATCAAAATTTCTATGGTAACGGCTAGAGCAATTGTTTAAAGAAAAAGGGGCATAAGGTGTTAATAATTTGTATCAATATCTCAGTTACATTCACAGATGTCAAGTCAGGGTAAGGTTGGGGTGTCTAAATTTAAAGCGGAAGATGACATCGCCTAGTCTGGTTAAGTGTCGATGGAGATTTATTTATTTTATTTTTATTTTTTTCTGAAAGGGTTTTGTGTATATAAAAACTGTCGTAAATCACTAACATTTGTTTTTTGACAACTTCATAAAGGGTTATCTTTTTTGGTAGGGCATTTAAACTACTTATTAGGACTATGGATTTTAAAAATTATTTTGTTTGTTTGTTCTAATTATTCAATGCAAAAATTTGATGATGTCGGCAAAAAAACGTTAACTCATGTCTATTGTTTAATAGATTTTTATTATTTAGAAACTTAATGTGTAGTTTTTCATGTAGGCATAAATAAATCTCCAAAATCAACCAGAAAAGCAGCAAATATTTGTCTGAAGTTATTCCAAAAAGGGATTGACTTTGAGATTACTACTCAATCTGGTATTTACAAATCTACTATTAAAGTAGCTGGTACACTTAAAGAAGAAATGAAGAAAACAGTACACTTAGAAAATTGGTCATTGCTTTTAGATAGTAAACGAATTGACGGCCAAGAATATCAAGTGCTTGTTTTGAAGAATGAAAGAAATTAGAATCATTAGATTTACCAAGCAGAAAGGCAGATACTGTTGTCTAAGGAATAACAACTGTTCTGGATGAATACAATTTATGGAAGAGCATAAAGATGATCGCTGTGGACACTACAAATATGAATACTGGGAGCTGGCAAAGGATTATGACTTAGTTACAAAGATTATTTGCTCAAAAGAAACTGGAAGAAACACAACTCATTGGCTGTCAACATCATCTTCTTGACCAGGTGTTTCACATAGTAATGGATGATGAACTTGGAGGAAACAATACATTGCTCAATATTGAATATCCATTTATCTGTGAACTTGTAAATTACTGCAAACAGTTCAAGAAGAATTTCAAGAATGGTAAAAGAAATTTTTTTCATTTAACTAAATTTTTCCATTATTTCGAAGAAACTGGAAGATTTCCTCAAGTGAAGTTTCAAAAAAAAAAAAAAACCTAACTAATCCAAGATGGAATTCTCAACCAATATTAATTCTTTTGCCATTTATTCTTCAAACAGAGAAAAATGAAAATCGCTACTCAACATTTGTAGATTCATTTCTTGTAGATGGGCGGACCATTGGTTTATTGACCAAATATATAATGTAGATGATTATTAGAAGCTATGCAGTAGACTGAGGACTCACAAAATAGCATTAAACATTGCGAAAAGATTTTGGAATCCAGAACCACTGAAACTTCCTTGAACAAATCAGTGTGTAGAACGGGCAATCAATTGTCTTCAAGATCTTTGACGTCTTTAAAAAGGAGATAGACAAAAGAAATGCAAACTGAATTAACAAAAAAAGAATAATTGTATATTATGCCATAATTATGCTAAATATTCCACATTCATTTTCTTTATAGTTATTTATATTCTTATATAGCTATTCTTACTCATAGATGGATGTTTCTGATTGTATATACAAGTTTGCAATTTTTGTTTCATTTTTAACTTTGTATGTTATAGACATATGAGATGAATTAAAAATACATGAGTACTATCCAATCACATCATTAGCAAATTGAAAAATAAAACTTCTGTAAGTTTGTAATTTTTATTTATAAGCTTGTATGTTATGCTATAGCTATAAAGTGTTAAGTGCGTTAAAAATACATAGTACTATCCAATCACATTAGCAAATTGAAAAATAAAGCTTCTGAAATATTTTGATTTTTTACCCGTATTGCGTATAGGTAAAATTGAATTTTTAGTTTGGGGTTGACCTTTTACATTACTTTTGTATAAAAGGTCATCAATTTATGATACAGGAACATAGGGTTACAAAAAAATCATAACCCTTATAAAATTGTGCATTTGGGCAGCAATTCCTTTTTTTTTTTTTTAATACAAGTTTCATTAAAAATGACTGACAATGATTAAGTTTTTTATTTAATTTTTCATGTGTTCTTATAAATAATTTTCTTCTTTTCTGAATGTAAATTATGTAGAAATTGTCCAGATGTTTTATATGTCTGAGCACTTTTGGCTATACTTTTAGCCATTGACAGGGTTGAATTTTATTTTATTTTTAACTGAATGTATGCATGTATCTAGAGTTATAGGAATGTTTTATTTTCCTAACATGGTGAGAACATTGTGGCCATGTTCATAGCTGATATTACTGAGTGTTAATAATGATTCCATTATTTTTTACCTATTTTACATATTATATTTGTATTATCAACGAGTATGTTGTGGATAGAATTTGATAAGTTTCCATGTGTATTAAAATGAAATTCAATTGAACTATGATCAGAGAGATGTTATGTGAGTCTTCTTGTTAGTTATGTTGTAGTATATCCAATATAATTATTTATTAATTTGGATTGATCAGGAATATAGGGGACATGCGAATTTGTAAATAATATTGGTTCTCTATAATCTGGATAATAATAATCTATAATCTGTTATTGTATGAGGAGCAATAGATAAATTGTCCTCTAAATTATGCAAAAATGAAAATAACCCTGGCATCTCATTTTAACAGATATATTTACCAAATTACACAAACATATCTTAAAATACTAAAGAGTAAATTTATTCAATAAACATTGCCATTGGCTTCAACCATGGCCTCCAGATGACTTCAGAATCTCCTGCAACTCTTCTGGACAGTCTCCTTTTTTACGTTGGTGAATGCTGCCATAATCCTTGCCTTCAGTTCATCTTTGGTTTTACAAGGAATTTTGTTGGTCTCTCTCTTTCAACTGCACCCCCCACACGCATAATCATCAAGGAGCTTGCAGTCTGGGGAGTTAGGTGGCCAGATGTAAGGGATAATGTGGTCACAGAAATTGCCTGACAGACACGATTGGGTTCTCCTGCTTGTGTGGCATAGTGCAGAGTCCTGTTGCCAGAAATAGGGTTTTCCAGCAGCCACCCTCTTGACCCAGGGCAGCACTACCTCCTAAAGGCACTTGATGTAGGTCTCTGTGTTGAGTCCAAGGTCCTGCGAGAAGATGAATGCCTGTATAATGTAGCTATCAGCCAGTGATCATTCCAGACACCATACTGTTGACTGAATATATCATCCAACTCTTCCAAAATCCTTTACACTGTTCTCAGATTGACACCCAAAGACTCTGAAATATTTGTATTGGAGCTTCCGGTGTGAATGCCAAGCAGTACAGCATGCTGTTTTCAAATTTCTCGTGGCATAAATTGCATCTTGGGGCTTTTTTTCTCACAGATGGTGCCTAACTGACCCTACTATACTGTGTAGCTGACTAAATCAAAAACAATGTGCATGTACAAAATTAAAAATGTAAAATGGCAGCAATTTACCCATCGCCCCATATATACATGTTTCTTTAAATAATATAGACAAGTTTTGTCTATTTATTTCAAGTAAGTTCCTTTCATATTGTCTGAAAAGCTTAATAACATTATCGTTGAAGGATGAAAGGAAATTGCCATATTGATACATGTTTAAATCCAATCTAAGCTTTCGGCTTACATAAGCCATTATCAAAGATGACAATTACTTTTCAATATATCAACCAATACATGGAACAATAATGATAGTCTGTTTTTGTTGCATGAAAAATTTTAAAGCAACGACTAACTCGTGTATATGAGACTCGGAAGCGAAAATCACGTTGCAGCTCATGACGTCACACATGACCACGCGAGAGTGAAAATGAGAAGTATTAAGTATGGGAAGCCGTTGGTATAAACCAATGGCTTCAGTTATCAATTATAGGCATTTAAGAATGTTTGTGGAGATTTCGTAGTTTATTTTGTTCAGGTTAGGTTTCAACTGTTTTATGTATATAGCTTCAAGAATTTTTAGTTTTATATATATATATATATATATATATATATATATATATATATATGTGTGTGTGTGTGTGTGTGTGTGTGTGTATATATAATTGGATAAATTACAAACATTATGTTGGCTTATTCTTATCATAATCCTTCCATATTCACAAATACTTTTCTATATATTACAATCAAATTAGGCAAGAAATGGCACTGTAACAGTGAAAATCAGTTATTTCCTAAGTACTTTACATCTCTTTCTGCTACCTAAATACCCCAAAAAAAATATATGTGTGTATATATATATATATATATATATATATATATATATATATATATATATATAAATATATATATATATATTTCATTTTTTTAGTTGGATTTATTTTTATTACTTCAAACGTTATTCTTAGTGGATATGCATATTTGAGAAGATGCTTTCTTTATTTTGAACAATATTTCATCTACTGGTCTGTGAAGTTGAGAAAATTATCAAGGCAAACGAGATGCTGCATGAAAGCCTGACACTCAAGCATTGAAAAATCAATGGTCTTTCAAGACTGTGATGCTGATGCATTCTAATTGATTTTCAACATTGTGACAGGCTGGTACATGCAACATCTGTGGCTATATCTGCCTCTCACTCATTGGACTTTACAACTAAATGAAACACTGCATGAAAGTCTTGACACTCAAGCATGGAAAAACCAATAGTCTGTCAGGATTATGATGCTGATGAATTCTGGTTAGTTTTCATCAATTGCTACCTTTAATTACTGTATTTGACAGTGTATAAGATGCACCCCCAATTTCAGAAGAGAAAATCAAGAAAACATTAATTATTAGTAAAATTATTAGTAAATGGTACAGCCTAGGCTATATTTATGAGGTATTATTTTGGTTAAACACGCCATGATTACAATTAAATGAAAAATAATAGGAAAATAAAGAACACAAGCCTATAAAAACTTTATTATATCCAAAGGTAAGAAAACCAAATAAAAATCAAGCAATTATTACAGTTGAGCAAAACAGTACAGTTACCATTAAAATTTCATTCATCTTCAAATCTATAAAATTCGTCGTCTTCGTTATCAAAACTGATACACATTTTCAATACTACTATCATTGTCATTAAATAATGCGTTATCTTCTGTTCCATTGAGAGCATTGCTAATGCCACACTTTTTAAAAGATTTCAAAACAATTTCTGGTCTAATATTATCCCAAGTTTGCTTCACCCATTCGCAGACTTGTGTAATGCTGGGTCTTTTTATTCTTCCTGTAAGTATAAGGTCGTGATCAGGCAATGCCATCCACATGTTTCATTGCTCCTTCATGTTTAAGTCTAAGCTAATAAGAGTTGCCAGGTAGCTAATTTCGGCCAACTATCACGAATTTTAAACCTACAGGTGGCATATAAGACACAGGGGAATGTTAAAAGATATTTTTAGTAAAAAAAAAAAAAAGTGTGCCTTATATACTGTCAAATATGGTAGTCTAATTGGAAGTAGTACTTGTTTGAATCTATGCTTCTTCAGAAGAAGCTCATATTAGAAAACTCCCTTACAATACTATCATATACAGTTCAACCACTTTAATCGGGCACACTTGGAGCCAGGCCACTGTTTGATCTCAGAAGATGCCAAATGACAGAATCCACACCTACAAAATCCCCTATGTAAATATAGCCTTGCCTGCTCATTCCACATATATATTGCTGTGTTATCAAAGGTAGGACAAAGCTTAAAACAGGAAATGAAACAATTGTTAATGTTGCCAAAGAAGTTTTTTTTATTGTTTCATGCAATACAAAGGCTGAAAAGAGAGGCATAAATTCAAAAAGCCTCCATGGAAATTTCTAAATACAGTCCGACCTCATTAATACAGCACCCTTGGGAGTAGCACATTGCTGGACCACAAAACATGCTAGATCACAGAAGTTACCCCTAAAAAGACCCTATGTAAATATAGTCATGCCAGCTTATTCCACATATACAGTGTAACCCGGGTATAAGAGAGTTGTCGGGACCGGAGACGAAGTCTCTTATATCCGGGTTTGGTCTATTTTATACACATTAACACAGGCCCTAATTTGGGACCAGAGAAAATCTCTCTTATATCCGGGTTACACTGTATATTGCTGTATTATCCAAGATAGAGCAAGGCTTAAAACAGGAAATAAAACAATCATTAATGCTTTCAAACAAGTTTTTTTGTTTTTATTTTTGTATTGTTTCATGCAATTCAAACCTTTCTGGCTTTTGTTTAAAGTAAAAAAAAAAAAAAAAAAATTTGCTCCTTCTGTTTCTTTAAGTCATACATGGGGAGGGGGGTGATTTGATGACACAGTACTCTGTCTATACAGACATTCCTATCTTTAATGTTTTTGTAATGCCTGTTTGTAAGAGAGACTTTATAAATAAAATACAACAATAGTAATGCCTTTGAATCATATTTGGTAAGACGCTGCTAATTCCCATATATATATATTTTCCTTTACCCATCACATGATTTAATTATTTCAAGATGAAGTCAAGTGTACTTGCTCTCTGGTGATCCATGTTCAAACACAAGTGTCAGCAATGACACTTTATTCCTATATGACAAATTTCTTCAGTAACTTCAGCTGTTCAAACATTGATAAAGATTTATGCTTCTTACATCATCAACTGCTGTTCCTTCTCACCTGGGTGCCATCCTGAATGGGTTAATATGCAGCTACAAGAATTGAGCAAGACTACATCACCTAAAGATGCTACTGTTGTCAGCTGCTACAGAAAGTTGTAAACAACATGGCACTGTTCTTGCGATGACTCAACAAACTAATGGTGGCATGGTTTAAAAAAGTACTGGACCATGCCAGACCTCGGAATATAATAAAATAATAGTGTATATACTGTACAGATATACTGGATGGTCCAATTCCATGTTACTCACACAAATTCTTTACAGATGTCCCTTTCTCTAATTTCTTCACTCCAAATTTTTTAAGCATAGATAAAGAATTATTCTTATGCTTCTTACCTCTAGCAGCATTATCTGCATCTCTTACTCACTTAAGTATCATCCTGAAAGGATAGATATACTGCTATATATAAGAAATGAGCAAGACCGTATCACCAAAACACTCTGCTGCTGTGGAAAGTTGTAAACAATGTGTGGCACTGGTCTCGTAGCCACTCAATAAATTAATGGCAGGTGATTAGAAAAAGTGCCAAACCACAGAAGTTGCTGAATTGAAGATGTTGTACTGTACTCCTTTGAATGAAGAGATGTCCAGCATTTGCTGACATACAAGGAGGACAACTTGTGCAATACTTAGCTAAAGTTTTCCTAGTCAGTTTGCTGTATTGCTTAAAATCTCATACGGCCTTATGCCATACATAGCTAAGTATATCTCACAGACCATTACTAGCAAGTTTTATCTCTAAATTAGAATGGTGCCCTTGTGCCATATTTAGTTAAGTAAATTTGATAGACTATTACTTTTCAAGTCAATTTTTTCTATAAATTATATACTTTGTGCCATACATAGCTAAATGTATCTCACAGGTCATTACTTTTCTGGTAAGGTTAACCAATTCTTACATCCGTGGCCTTGTGCCATACTTAGGTAAGTAACTGACAGGAAGAAAATAAAAACTATCTTACCAGAAAGAGGCTTAATTTCTGCACAAAGTCAATTTGTTGTTCTGGGACTTTTCGCTCCTTCTTTAACTTATCAGCGCTTTTTCTAGAAAAGAAAAGAAAAGCAAAAAAATTAAACAAAAAGAAGCATTTCCAAAATTTTCCCAAAGACAATCCGACTTGAGTCAAAATAAAATTCAGTATGTCATGAATATTTATGGAGAGACTATCTCATTTTAACAAAATTCAATCAAACCCCTATTCCCACTAAAGGGACATGTTTCATCTTTACAGGTTTCCTTTTCTGGCTCTAGCTTTAAAATCAATTGAGGATACATATACAAGATAACTTATCAAGAGTGTGTGTGTGTGTGTGTGTGAATATTATATATATATATATATATATACGCACACACATATATATACACACATATATATACACACGCACAAATACACACACACATATATATATACACATATATACACACACACACACACATATACACACACACACACACATATATATATATATATATATATATATATATATATATATATATATATATATATATATATATATGGCCGAAAGTGGTTAGAATGTTTGCTATCTCACCATGGTCCTGATGTTATTAGTCTGGAAGGAGACGATTCCAGCACATGGTACCTTTGGAAAGTGCCTGAAAACCATACCACGGGTTGACTCAAGCCGTGTGAGTGAAATTGGGTAGACGGAACTCTTGGGACTGTCGATAGCTATGCCAGCATGAAATCACAAGTCATTGTAACAAAGGGTTTGAGTGTACTGATGTTGTTCAGACTTAATCATTCTAGATAACATACTCTCTACCAGAAACTGTAGCTATGGTCTGCTCAGCGTAGTTGCAGTATAAGCCACAGGTTGGCTCTGTGGGTATTGAACAAGCACAAATGTGCCTGAGTGAGAGTCTGCAATAGGGATTGATTAGCTGCCCTAGTAGACAGGTATCCTTGAATATGAGTGGCCAGCTATTTTTATATATATATATATATATATATATATGAAGAAATATAGTCTTAAGATGTGCTATATTTATGGGATAAAGTGCTCAATATCAGAGATAGAGCGTGTGTAAATATAAAAGTGAACATAGAAGTCAAAATAAATAAATATATATATAAGATAAGAAACAAAAAATAAAAATAAATAAAAACAAGCAAAATAATTTAACCTAAATAAATAAATAAACAAATAAACGACTTCTGGTAAAATAACCGCCAAAATAGCACCACTGACCCGTATATATATAAATAGCCGAGTAAAATAACAGCACACATGGCCTGACGATTACATATAGCATGAAACAGACTGTCGTCTCTAAGTGTTGACTTCTATGTTCACTTTTATATATATATATATGAATAAAAACAAAAAGAAAACTTTCTTTAACAATGCATTTGGTCCTCTGATGGACTTTATCAAGATAAATATAAGGATTTTATTTTGCACCAAGTATTTATAAGCAAAACTAAAAATATTAAGTTTTCAAAATTTTTAAATTTAAAAATGCTCATAAATATTCTTCAGGGTAACTGTGAAAGTCAAGGTAAACTATAAGGAATGCTATGTGGTGTAACAAAAAAAAAAAAAAAAAAAAAAAAAAAAAGTGAAAAAGATCCAGGCAGCAGATTTAAATTTTGGCAAGATTTGATATTTTACATATTTTTTCTTTTCTAAAAGATATACTGTTTTCCCAAGCCAAGATATGTGGCCATAAAAATATTAAAAAAATAAAGTTAAATCAAAACAAATAAAGTGGAAAGACTACATTGAATCCATTATTAGGTCAGCTGCTAAGAAAGTTGGTTCACTGTGTTGCGCAAGACAATTTTTCTCTCCAGAATGTATGGTGATATTATAAAATGTGTTTGTCAAATGTTTATTGATAGTAAAATGTTTATCAGCCTAAGTATTTTCTACATAATAAATCATGTTCTTTTCTAATTAGGGTGACACTTAATAAATTGATATTATGGCTTGTTTTGTTACTGTGTGTTATGCACATGATATATATGAAACATGGGATATATATATATATATGTGTGTGTGTATGTATGTTGTATCCTTAAAGAGCTTACAAACAGACAAAGTTGGTACTCAAGTGAAGGAAGAACAACACATGTGTAGATGAAAGAAATAGAGGTTTATTGTAAAAGAGAATACACTACTGAAAGACAGGAAATCAGTTAGCAGGCTAGTAATTCCAGACGCAAGCCCTGTGGGATATCCGGTGCTCACTATATATAGCTACTGATATAGTCAGTCCACATAGGTGATAGGGAGTGTGGGACATTCCATTACTATATATATATGTGTGTGTGTGTGCATCAATCAACATATTCGGATGTCTTGACCATGACCCCTGTCTTTCTCTTTATCCATTTCCCAAACACTCCTCTTTACTCTTACTCTCTGTAACCCCTTGCATGCTATAGCCATTCCCACCTTGCTTGGGGTGATTTGTTTTATATATATATATATATATATATATATATATATGTGTGTGTAAGGATTAAATAATTTTTAAAAGTGCTCAATATTTAGAATATAATAGAGCAATAATTTTTAAAATTGAAAATTTACTTACTCTAAATTTATGTTTTTTCTCCTGACTATATGGGGTTAAAACTTTGAGGGTTAAAATGTTTAAATGTCCATTTTTATCTCTATATTTGTGTTTTTTTCTTTGACTCTGTTAGTGACATGCACATACTGGCGTTCATTTGTGTATCCATTAATCCAAACAAGAGTTTACTTCTAATATGCTACAGACGTAATTATGTTTGCTGTCACAAACGCATCCTTTCCAATTGGTTTATATTTTTCATTGTGTATTTTTTAATTATTATAATTATTACTTTTCATTCATATATATATATATATATATATATATATATATATATATATATATATATATATATATATAACATCTATATATATAAAAATCAAAATTAGATATTTGTTAAAATTTATGGAAATTATGTTATGTTGGTGTTTAAGTTATAAAGTAAATATTTGTTAAAATGTCTCCATTTACCCATTAATTAATTTCTTTTGTTTAATAATTTGATCTGATTGTTGAAATTTATTAAATATAATTTTTCTTCTAGGCATAATTTACATGTTATATTTTTGATAATATTGAGAGTTACTTTTTTTTTTTTTATTTCCTATTTGATTTTTGTCAGTATATTTTTCTTTTTTTAGTCCATATATATTGAGATAATGTTGTGTTGATTGAATATCTAATTATTTTGAATGACAATTTATGATTGTTAAGTCATTTTTTAAATGTTGTTTCCTTAGATCCTATATAGATTTTTTGTTCTATATTAATATTATTTCATACAGTTGCTTTATATATTATATTATTGGTTAAACATTTATTATCAAGAGGAAAGTTATTTTTATTTAATATTTTTTTATTATGTTTATTTATTCTCTCCTCCATATTATTCATACAACTGTAACTGATTTTTATTGTATTCTTATTTATGATTTCTCATAATTTACTATTTTTAGGAGAGTGTTTATCAGTTAATTTAAAGAATAATGTTCCTTTTTTTGTTTTTATTGTATTGTTATAAGGTGGGTTAAACCAAATTATATTTCTTTTTCTTTTATTTTTGTATGCATTGTTTGTAGTTATATATTCTAATTTATTTACATATCCACTTTTTCTTAATGCCTCTTAGCCTGATTGATATTTATAAGTGTTTTTAATTTTAAAAAATTTTGTAAAACTAACAGCATTTTTAGTTTGGTTTATAAGTACTTGTTGCAAAATAAAATCCTTACACTTACCTTGATAAATTCCATAAGTGGACGAAATGTGACGAATAAGATAAGTTTGCCTTTTGTCTTTATTTTTCTTATTGTCCTTTTACAGATATATTTTTAGTTATATCTGAAATTTTACATATATATGTATGTATATAGGTAAGAAACTCCATTTACAATTTAATGAGAATGAAAAAGAAATAATCTGTATTTGATGACACTTTGAGGACATTTTCACTGAGCAAAATGACTGAAAAAATTACTAACACATTATATGTGAAGACAATAAGCAATATTTAATCTTCAAGTCGTTCCAGAGACAATCAATATTTTTAAAAAATTCCCTGCTGAAACGACAAAGACATCTTTGTCTGCCTACTTGATATGCCATCAAACATAGCAAGCAATTTTAACAGATGTTAAATTTTTCCTTTACATTCTGAATGCTATCTATAAGGCTCACGCTGTTCATGTATTTGAAAAATCTGCAATAATCAAGTGGAACGAAAGCCTTCCTCTGCATCAAATGTCATAGGATTTTACAAGTATTTACAGACTTGCATCTCAATATGTATACAGAAAAACATTTTAAATAGGCGTATAAAATTTAATAATTGTGATAAAAATAGACATTAAAATCAAACAAGAAGAAAGTATCACAAAAAAAAAAAAGCTTATATTTACTCTAGCGAGCTTGGGTAAATGGATGGCAGAGGAAGGTTTAGGAGAGTTAAACGAAGAAAGTTGATTGAGAGCTACAAAGGACTGGAAACTGGAGAGCTATGATTTCCTGCATCCTAAAGATACACAGCATATAGAAGAAAAAGGTAAATTGAAAAACTGAAAGGTAAAAAAAAAGAAGTAAAAAAAAGTTGCTAAATGCATCATAAATTCAACTGACCATTACTACTGAGTTTGATCCTCACTGGGTGCCCCATACAAAATTGGATATAAAATATCTGACATGTCAAAAATTCAACTGACCAACAATCAGCAAGGCGTAATAGTCAGTGAGGCTAATCTGTATGACCATTACTACTGAGTTTGATCTTCACTGGGTGCCCCATACAAAATTGGATATAAAATACCTGACATGTCATAAATTCAACTGACCAACAATCAGCAAGGCGTAATAGTCAGTGAGGCTAATCTGTATGACCATTACTACTGAGTTTGATCCTCACTGGGTGCCCCATACAAAACTGGATATAAAATGTCTGACATGTCATAAATTCAACTGACCAACAATCAGCAAGGCGTAATAATCAGTGAGGCTAATCTGCATGACC